AGGATGAAACGCTAATGGTTTACTGGGCTGGCTGATTCACACCTTAGCCTAGCACTGGCCCCGGCTACATGGCAAGAAAGGTCACTGTTAGATAGAAGACACAGAAAGGGGGACCTCCCCGGTAGTTCGGTGGCTAAGACTTCATGCCCTCAGTGCAGGGGGGCCCAGGTTCGATCCCTGGTCAGGGAACTAGATCTCACGTCGAAACTAAGAGTTCACAGGCTGCAACTAACAATCCCACGTGTCACGACTAAAAAGTCCCATGTGCTGCAACTAAGACCTGGAGCAGCTAAATAAATAAACATTAAAAAAAGAAGACACACAAAGAGAAGTAGAGACAGTGGCAGAAACTGACACCATCTAAGCATCACTTTGCTGAGGCGGGCATGGGATAACACGGTCTCTCAGAGCTGCCTTAAAACCTGAGTAGTTTCTTGGGATCCTATGAGATTTCTTTCCCTTGCTACCGTGTGTATCCTTTCTTTAAACTCAAATCAAAACAGTACTTGAGATGGTATATGGTCATGTTGCGGCCTAGGGCAGGCCCCCAAATATGTATCAACGGCGTATTGACTATTTTGAATTAAAGTTACTTAAGAAGCAGCCAATGCAAAAAGGACACATTGGCCCTCCCCTTTATTTCTCTGAAACCAGGAAATAAATCTCTCGTAGGAAAGGTGCCCTCCTTGGACCCAGAGAAAGACATCATTAGGACCAAAGATAGAGAATTCAGGTCCGAGAAACCTGTATAAATAAACCTTGCTTCTTCTTCACTAATTTACCTCCCAAGCTCACCCCTTGGCTTAAATTCCTTATAATTACATACCCGAACCTAGTTTCTTTGTTCTGCCAAATCCTCACAAATTTATTGTTTCTTTATACACAAAGATATTAAGTTACCCACTCTTAGATATTCTCTGAGCATCTTTTTATGATCTCCCATTAAAAAGCAGAGACATCACTTTGCTGACAAAGGTCCATATAGTCAAAGCTATGTTTTTTCCAGTAGTCATGTATGGATGTGAGAGTTGGACCATAGAGAAAGCTGAGTGCTGAAGAACTGATTCTTTTGAACTGTGGTGTTGGAGAAGACTCTTGAAAGACCCTTGGACAGCAAGGAGATCAAACCAGTCAATCCTAAAGGAACAGTCCTGAATATTCATTGGAAGGACTGATGCTGAAGCTCCAATACTTTGGCCACCTGATGCAAAGTACTGACACATTAGAAAAGACCCTGATGTTGGGAAAGGCAGGAGGAGAAGGGGGCGACAGAGGATGAGATGGCTGGATGGCATCACTGACTCAATGGACATGAGGTTGAACAAGCTCCGGGAGTTAGTGATGGACTGGGAGGCCTGGCATGCTGCAGTCCCTGGGGTTGCAAAGAGTCAGAAACCACTGAGCGACTGAACTGACTGATGCCCATAAAACTAAGTTGGGTTTCCTCCTGTTAATCTGCCTTGTGTCAACTTTATTATTAATCCAGCCACAGACACTCAAGAGGGTCAGAGGGAACCTCTCTCCCTCTCCCCACAATCATAATCTGTTCCCTGGGGCCAGAAAAGTCTCAGACACAGGACAGGCAGCTGGGCAGAAGCAGGGATGAAGAGCAGAGAAAAAGAGGCACAAGGGTGGGATCTGTAGTTTTACGTTTTTATTGATTACCCTTATCTCTGAAAACTTTCCAATTTGATTCTGAAACACAGTGTTTCCAGAGTTCTTTTCCTTCCTGGAATAATTCATAACCTTATGGAACTGGAGAGAAATTAGAACTCATTTGGCACATTAGAAGAGAAAGGAAAAAAAAGAGGCCCAGAAAGGACAGAGATTTCTTTTTCATTCCATTTCCTTCAGTCATTCTCTTTTCCCCACCATTCAAGCACGATGTTCTTGAATTATCTGCCCCTTCTCGGTCTAGACTGATAATTTCAGCCTCATATTATACATGTGTCTGCTCCTAAATTTTTATCCTAAGTGCTGAATGCTTCACTCTTTTATACAGTGTTAGACTCCAGTGAGCGATGGGATGTTTACTTACAAGTGTCATCAGTGTCTGAAACACAACTTGGTTAAGGCTGAAATCTTTCTCCATCTCCTTTCAGCTTCTTCATCCCTGCCATGAGCATTATCATTTGTAAAGCTTCCCTGTCGTAAACTTTTTTTTTTTTAATTTTTTGATGTGGACTATTTTTTAAGGCGTTACTGAATTTGTTTCAGTATTGCTTCTATTTTGTGTGTGTGTGTGTTTTTTGTTTTGTTTTTTTGGCCCTGAGGCACGTGGGATTTTTAGCTCCCCCATTAGGGATCAAACTTGCACCCCTTGCAATGGAAGCCGAAGTTTTAACCACTGGACTACCAGGGAAGTCTCCTTAAACTTTTTAAATTTCAAAATATTTCAAACAAAAAAGATAAAGAATAAAATAATATTCACACCCCTATTATTCAGACTTAATATTTGGCTGCATCTGCTTCAGATTGAAGAATATCTTTACAGACACGGCTGCAAGTCCCAGCCCCATTCAATCTGCTCCCTCCGGAGAGGATCGATCCTTGGGTCGGGCTGATCCCCTGGAGGAGGACATGGCAACCCACTCCGGTATTCTTGCCTGGAGAATCCCATGGACAGAGGAGCCTGGTGGGCTACAGTCCATGGGGTCACAAAGAGTTGGACACGACTGAAGCGACTTAGCACAGCACAGAGCACGCCCCGAGACAAAGGCTGAGGAGCCTCAGAACTGACCCAGGAGGTGCAGGGAACCAGGCAGGGGAAGGGAGGTGGCTCAGGGCGAGGGGGGTGTGACCAGCAGGGCCCATGATTAAGCAGCTGCTATGGTGGGCAGTGCAGCTTATTCCTACAGAAAAGCTCCTGCAAATGATGTAAAGCACACCTCAGAATGATCACGGCCAGTGAATGGTGGGGTTGGGAGGATTTATATGCCCACACCCACTAGTCATGTAGGTGGCTAGGGGTGGGGGTTGTTTCCAGTCAAGGGCTCCAGCAGCCTGTGGGGAGCCTTTTAACAAAGATGCTGGCTATTGGAAGTTGGGCTGGAACGTACAAAAGTGGAAACGAAATCAAAGGGATGTGGGTGATAGCATCGGTGAGAGTGTGTGTCCTGCTTATTGACCTCAATTTACCTCTATGTTTACCTAAACGTTGTTACTTAAAAAAATATATAATATGATATTATTGATAACACTGATGGTGATAATGATGATGAAGAGGAACAGTGACTATAACTATACACCAGTCAACATGAAAAAGGTGGAAAATAACTTCGGTTCAAAGACCTGTTTAACTACTTACTGGATTTTTATCATGCGCCTGATTGCTCTCCCTTTAATAGAAAGTAAGAAAAAGAAACACACACTTTACTAGACTTTGACAAAATGTGACCTTTTCCCTAATCTTCCTTCATCTCCTTCTTCGAGACTATGGGGTTAGTAGGCTTAAATGGTGATTGGTATGAGATTATAGGTCTCTGCTAAGAAGACTACCTATAATCAGGAATGTCTTAGAATGTCATTTCCTTCTAAGCTGAAATCCATTAGCCTTTCTACTGAAAGAAAGCTGAGTGCCAAAGAATTGATGCTTTTGAACTGTGGTATTGGAGAAGACTCTTGAGAGTCCCTTGGACTGCAAGGAGATCCAACCAGTCCATCCTAAAGGAAATCTGTCCTGAATATTCATTGGAAGGACTGATGCTGAAACTAAAACTACAATACTTTGGCCACCTGATGTGAAGAACTGACTCACTGGAAAAGACCCTGATGCTGGGAAAGATTGAGGGCAGGAGGAGAAGTGGGCGACAGAGGATGAGATGGTTGGATGGTATCACCAACTCAATGGACATGAGTTTCAGCAAGCTCTGGGAGTTGGTGATGGACAGGGAAGCCTGACATGCTGCAGTCCATGGGGTCGCAAAGAGTTGGACACAACTGAGCGACTGAACTGAACCAAAATGGAGAAAAGTGTGTATGTACGCATGTGCAGAGGGGGGACCAGGTGATGGAGTCAAACTTCAACTCCATCATCGTGCAATAAGCCTGCTGCAATGTTCTAAGTTATTTAGCAAAGCAGGAATAGCTTGCCTTCCTTGAACCTCACAACCAACAGGACTGCTGATTTAACAAAATAAAACACTGTAAAACAATATGTTTCCTATTTCCTTTTGCAGAGGCCAAAAGGATTTATAACAACCCTTAAATAACACTCCTCATAGATCTCATGATTGGACAAACATAGGCCTCTCTCTAAGAACTAGCAGGCAGGAAGATCACCTGAGACATGGAAAGATCCAGCAGCCCAGGGGGGTCTTTTTCAAGAATCAGAACGATTACTTGTAAAGCAGATCCCATAAAGCAGAATAAAAAAAAATTTTTAAGTCTCACATTGAGATTTAGGGGCTTCCCAGGTAGTGCAAGAGGTAAAGAATCTCCCTGTCAATGCAAGAGATGCAAGAGACGTGGGTTCCAGTCCTGGGTTGGGAAGATCCCCTGGAGAGAGAAATGGCAACTCACTTCAGTATTCTTGCCAGGAAAATCCCAGGGACAGAGGAGTCTCGTGGGCTACAGTCCATGGGGTCATAAAGAGTCAGACATGACTGCACGTATACAAAGAGAGGTAATGTTTTCATAAAGTTATTCTCTACTGTTTCTTTACCTGATTCCACTTCCACATAAAAACAAGCCTTACGATAATCAATAAGGAAATACATTTTGTGTCACCATAGTTAAGCTCTGAGTAGGATAAAGAAAGGCCACATAGAATGCAGAGACCTACACTTTCAAACAAAAAGCGCCTTTGTTATTCCATCTGAAGCTTTGGATACTCCTTACAGAAAATTGTACTTCTGTATAAAACATGAGATGGGCAGAACATTTCAGGAATTCATGGGCTCCCTAAAGCCCCAAAGGTTCTTGTGATCTGTTGACCCCCCAGTGGTCCATGAGAACCAGGGTAAGAATCCTTTGTTTAGAGTGAAGCAGAGAGCACTTACATTGTATAGAGGGATAGTCTTCATCACCTTGTACTGCTTAGTGGGATCCATTTTATACAGGTGACGGTCAGTGACAAAAATTGCTCGATCTTCCACCTTACTAAATCGATTCACCTGTAAGAAAAAAAAAGTAAACCATAATATCTCATCAAGAATGAAATCGAACGATCTGCCAGGGAAACATCTAGGGGCTGGTACAAGACCTTCTAGAACTAACACCCCCAAAAGATGTCCTTTTCATTATAGGGGACTGGAATGCAAAAGTAGGAAGTCAAGAGATACCTGGAGTAACAGGCAAATTTGGCCTTAGAGTACAGAATGAAGCAGGGTAAAGGCTAACAAAGTTTTGCCAAGGGAATGCACTGGTTGTAGCAAACACCCTCTTCCAACAACACAGGAGAAGACTCTACACATGGAAATCACCGGATGGTCAATACTGAAGTCAGATTGATTATATTCTTTGCAACCAAAGATGGAGAAGCTCTATACAGTCAGCAAAAACAAGACCAGGAGCTGACTGTGGCTCAGATCATAACTCCTTACTGTCAAATTCAGACTTAAATTGAAGAAAGTATGGAAAACCACCAGACCATTCAGTCTCTTACAATTATACAGTGGAAGTGGCAAATAGATTCAAGGGATGAGATCTGATAGACAGAGTGCCTGATGAACTGTGGATGGAGGTTCATGACATTGTACAGGAGACAGTAATCAAGACCATCACCAAGAAAAAGAAATGCAAAAAGGCAAAATGGTTGTCTGAGGAGGCCTTACAATTAGCTGAGAAAAGAAGAGAAGCTAAAGGCAGAGAAAAGGAAAGATATACCCATTTGAATGCAGAGTTCCAAAGAATAGCAAGGAGAGATAAGAAAGCCTTCCTCAGTGATCAATGCAAAGAAATAGAGGAAAACAATAGAATGGGAAAGACTACAAATCTCTTCAAGAAAATCAGAGATACCAAGGGAACATTTCATGCAAAGATGGACACGATAAAGGACAGAAATGATATGGACCTAACAGAAGCAGAAGATATTAAGAAGAGGTGGCAAGAATACACAGAACTGTACAAAAAAGGTGTTCACGACCCAGATAATCACGATGGTGTGATCACTCACCTACAGCCAGACATCATGGAATGGGAAGTCAAGTGGGCCTTAGGAAGCATCACTATGAACAAAGCTAGTGGAGGTAATGGAATTACAGTTGAGGTATTTCAAATCCTGCACTCAATATGCCAGCAAATTTGGAAAACTCAGCAGTGGCCACAGGACTGGAAAAGGTCAGTTTTCATTCCAATCTCAAAGAAAGGCAATGCCAAAGAATGTTCAAACTACCGTACAATGGCACTCATCTTACATGCTAGCAAAGCAAAGATTCAAAATTCTCCAAGCCGGGCTTCAGTAGTATGTGAACCATGAACTTCCAGATGTTCAAACTGGATTTAGAAAAGGCAGAGGAACCAGAGATCAAATTGCTAACATCTACTGGCAATCAAATCACAAATCATTGGCAATCATCAAAAAAGCGAGAGAGTTCCAGAAAAACATCTATTTCTGCTTTATTGACTATGCCAAAGCCTTTGACTGTGAGGATAACAACAAACTGGAAAATTCTGAAAGAGATGGGAATACCAGACCACCTGATCTGCCTCCTGAGAAATCTGTATGCAGGTCAACAAACAACAGTTAGAACTGTACATAGAAAAGCAGACTGGTTCCAAATCGGGAAAGGAGTACGTCAAGCCTGCATATTGTCACCCTGCTTATTTAACATATATGCAGAGTATGTCATGTGAAATGTCAGGCTGGATGAAGCACAAGCTGGAATCAAGACTGCTGGGAGAAATACAATAACCTTAGATATGCAAATGACACCACCCTTATGGCAGAAAGCAAAGAAGAACTAAAGAGCCTCTTTATAAAGTGAAAGAGGAGAGTGAAAAAGTTGGCTTAAAACTCAACATTTAGAAAACTAAGATCATGGCATCTGGTCCCATTACTTCATGGCAAATAGATGGGGAAACAGTGGCAGACTTTATTATTTTGGGCTCCAAAATCACTGCAGATGGTGACTGCAGCCAGGAAATTAAAAGACGCTAACTCCTTGGAAGGAAAGTGATGATCAACCTAGACAGCATATTAAAAAGCAGAGATGTTACTTTGCCAATTAAGGTCCATCTAGTCAAAGCTATGGTTTTCCCAGTAGTCATGTATGGATATGAGAGTTGGACTATAAAGAAAGCTGAGTGGTGAAGAATTGATGCTTTTGAACTGTGGTGTTGGAGAAGACTCTTGAGAGACCCTTGGACTGCAAGGAGATCCAAGCAGTCTACCCTAAAGGAAATCAGTCCTGAATATTCATTGGAAGGACTGATGCTGAAGCTGAAACTCCAACACTTTGGCCACCTGATGCAAAGAACTGACTCATTAGAAAAGACCCTGGTGTGGGGAAGGACTGAAGGTGGGAGAAGAAGGGGACAATGAGATGGTTGGATGGCATCACTGACTCGATGGACATGAGTTTGAGCAAGCTCCAGGAGCTGGTGATGGACAGGGAAGCCTGACGTACAGCAGTCCATGGGGTCGCAAAGAGTTGGACACCACTGAGTGACTGAACTTACACTGGTGGTAGAGCCAAATCCTACAGACGTTGTCCAGCTGTGACCATTCTACTGGATGCAAAAGAGATGGAAAAGGAGTAGGCGCTCCCAAATTTGTGGACTTTTACAATGTAAAGCTCACGGTTTTACAATTTATCAGGGAAAGCAAGAAAAACACATAAGAATTAAAGAATAAAAAAAATATAACCCAGACACTACAACAAAAGTGAAAAGGCAACCCACAGGAGAAAATTTTTGCAAATCATATATCTGGAAAAAACTCTTTTTTAGAATACATAAAGAATATATGTTGTATCTAGAGTACATAACTCAATAAGGAAAAGACCAAAAAAATTTTTTTTAAATGGGTAAAGAATTTAAAGAGACATTTCTCCAGAGAAGATATATATGTGCCTGTAGAAAAACATGAAAAGGTGCTTGGCATCACTGGCCATCAGAAAAACACCCATCAGAACCACAGTGAGATATACCACCTCACGCCCACTACCTTGACAATAATACAAAGGACAGATAGTAGCAAGTGCTGGCCAGGGTGTGTAGAAAGTGGAACCCTCATTACTACTAGTGGGGGTCTAAGATGAAACAGTTCCTTTGGAAAACAGTCTGGCAGCTGCTGAAACAGTTAAACAGAATTACCACATGACTCAGAAATTCCAGAGTATACACCCAAGGGAACTGAAAACATATCCACGGAAAAACCTGTGCCTGAATGTTAACAGCTGTCTTAATCATAATGGCTACAAAGTAGAAACAACCCAAATGTCCATTAACTGACGAATGAATAAATAAAACGTGATATCCATACAATGGAATATAATTTGCAATAAAAAGAATGAAGTATTGATACCTGCTATACCATGAAAGAACCCTGTTAGCATGCCAAGTAAAAGAAGCCAGTCACAAAGGACCATGTGTTATACAATTCCATTCATATGAAATGTCCAGAATAAGCAAATCTATAGAAACAGAGCATAGATTAGTGGCTTCACGGGGCTGGGGGAAAGGGGAGGTTTTGGGGTGGGGGAACAGCTAAGGGGTGTGGGGTTTCTTTATGGGTTAATGAAAATGTTGACAACTGGTTTTAGTGATGGGTATTCAACCGCGCTCTAAAATCATATACTTTAAAATGGTGAATGATATGTTAAGTGAATCTATCTCAATGAAAAGTGAAAGTGTCAGTCACTCAGTTGTGTCCAACTCTTTGTGACCCCATGGACCATAGCCTGCCAGGCTCCTCTTTCCAGGGCGTTCTCCAGGCAAGAATATTGGAGTGGGTTGCCATTCCCTTCTCGAGGGGCTCTTCCCAACCCAGGAATTAAACCCCAGTCACTTGCATTGCAGGTGGATTCTTCATAGTGTGAGCCACAAGGGAAGCCCCGTATCTCAATAAAGCTGTTAAAAGTTAACCCCTATTTGAAACAACTCATTCTGCTCCTTTCCTAATACAATGGGCAGGTGTATTTCAGATTAAACTCCCTGAAGTATCTCATTAAATCTGCATGTTCTACATTAAGTCTACTTATGCTAAATGAAATAAGGATGTTTTATATATATATATATAAAACACATATATATATATCTTTTTAAATTTATTATTATTATTTTTTTATTTTTGGCCCTCTTAATGCAGCATGTGGGATCTTGGTTCCCCAACCAGGGATCAAACCCATACCCCCTGTAGCAGAAGCACAGAGTCTTAACCACTGGAGTGGCAGGGAAGTCCCAGGCTAGGATATAGTGGAATATATTGCTTTAGGTAGGATATAGCCAACTAAAATTCAAGTTTTAGTTTGAATTTTATTGTCTTCTCCCCTTTGCCTCATCATTTTAGAAATCAGTCCTTTCTCTAAACATTTCCTTTATAATCAGAGCATATTTTCCAGTCTTAAACTTGACAAAAACGGTATCTGTAATTAAGATGAGAACAGAATCTATGTGGTAAAATAATAACTACTCTTGGTAGTAATGATTTACTTCACGTAGCAACATTTTTTTTTGCCCATAAAAGAGAACTAGCACTTGTCAGTCAACTTGAAACAAGGTGCTTGCAGAGTTTCTGCATAAAGTTTTTCTAAGTTGTTTTGCACAATCTCCTGCAATGCTTTGTGAGAGACAGGGTTCCAGGTCAAGTTGGTTGGAGGAACTGCTAACCACAGCCTCCCCTGGGGTGTTCAGAGCCCATGGATACATCAAAGGTTCATAGAATTCTGCATTTTAAGAGCAGGTTAATCCATCCATTCCTGGTGGCTCAGATGGTAAAGAATGTGGGAGACCTGGGTTCGATCCCTGGATTGGGAAGATCCTCTGAAGTAGGAAACGACAACCTGCTCCAGTATTCTTGCCTGGGAAATTTGTGGACAGAAGAGCCTGGCGGGCTACAGTCCCTGGGGTTGCAAACAGTCAGACATGACTGAGCGACTAACACTTGCACACTTTTTTCCTAAATACATTTAGTTGTGGAACTCTATAAAAAAAAATTCATATTTAAGGGAACATTGGTTTGTGAAAAACCTCTTAGAGAACACCAGTCATTTGTATCTATCTTAAGATATGGAAAACAAAGAACCTATAACATGGAATTTGAATAGCAAGTAAAAGTCGGGCTCCTCATCTTTTGTGAGATCACATTGAGAAACAGATTAAGTGTGCTGCAAACAAATATGGAAAAAAACAACTTGTTGTATCATTTCTCAAGGTCACACAAGATTTGAAAAACAGTAGGAGTGCTCAAATGGAGACTCTAGCCCTTCTGATGATATGTCCATGAGTTAACCTGGAAACCAACAGACAAAACCCTCAAAGCAACAATTCCTCTGAAGCACTGTTTAGAAATATTACATTCTTTTTTTGCAGAAATATAATTTCTAAGGAGCACAGGACATAAGTCTTTACCTTGAGGGTTAGCAGCTCAAATCATTCTTAAGGCATGAATCGAGTGGAAAGGACATTAATGTAATGAAGGAAAAGCTTTGAGTTGCATAATTTAGCTAAATCAAAACGGCAAAGACAAATGTTTTCAATACTTATGTGAATTTATAAATTCAGATTTATTTAAAGTAATTCTAACATAGGTAGGGACACAATTTTTCTTCCTCTTAGATTCATACAGTAATAGAAAAACTTGATCACAGATTCAGTGTTAGATGAACTCTTATCTGATTTCTTCTATTACCCAAGCTAAAATCCTCAACCAGAGAAAAATCTCTAGTTATCTTGTTCTTGCCTGAACACTTCTAGGGATTTGTCTGTAGGTTTCATCAGCTCTACAGGGGGCCAGAGATAAAGTTTCCCTGGAGGCAGACCAGGAGAAAACACATTATGGGTAAGAGTAACTATTTGCACAGGTCTCCCACTTACTTAAAGGACATTTTATAGCTGTGTGTGTATGCTAAGTCACTTCAGTCATGTCTGACTCTTTGTGACCCTATGGACTGTGGCCTGCCAGGCTCCTCTGTCCATGGGGATTCTCCAGGCAAGAATACTGGAGAGTTGTTTTGCCGTTCAGGGGACTCTTCCTGACCCAGGGATCGAACGCGTGTCTCTAATGTTTCCTGCATTAAGCAGGTAGGTGCTTTACCAGTAGCACCACCTGGGAAGCCCTTTTATAGCTGTAGCTATGGAAGGTGGTTGTTTCAGAAAGAACCAAGACATAAAGAAGAGGACTTGACTAAAATCATATCAAGTTTACCTACATATGTCCTTGAGGACTGGAAAGTTCCTAAAGATGACATTATCTAAGTTATGATGTGAAGAAATACAGTGTATTATTTTGGATTTAACTTAGAAATACAGAAGCAGGACTATAACATTTTCAGTTTTTTTTTTTTTTTTTTTGCAGTAGGACCTAGGGAAAGACATGTTGTCAGACATCAAACTGTTATCGCTGGAAAGATAGAATCAGGGATGCCAGGTTTTTCTAAGCAAATGATGTAATTCTCAAAACCATCCAGCTCTCTCTGATCAGTTGTCCTGATGACTAATTTGACCGTGATACTAGAAAGGAAGTATCCTAGAGAGTGGATATGAGAATTCACTAAAATGGTACATTCCTTTGTCAAATTCAAACCCTGGCATCATGGCTTATACTGTTTTGTGTGGGTGTGTGAATCTGGTTAGCAAAAGTCACTTCTTGGTTGCCTCATGAACTCTAGGTACACTGATCAAATAGAATTTCTGGATCTAGAGTTCAGAATTTGACTCTACGCTCTGGTTACCAAGATACTACCAGCAAGCTTTCCATGGTGACATTTCATTTGAAGTTTAAAACAGGCTGCTCTCTAGTTTGTTTAAAAGTCTGTATAATGTTGAGTTATCTGTTTTTCCACAGAGTATTTGAACGCTAACATCCATTATGTAAGAATCCCTCACTACCCACTCCCCCCAGCCCCTGGTAACCACAATTCCACTTTCTATTTCTATTAATTTGACTGTTCTAAGATATTTCATGGAAGTGGAATCAAAAAATATTTTTCCTTTTGTGTCTTATCACTTAGATAATATCTTCAAGGTTCATCCACATTGTAGCATGTATTTCATTCCTTTTCATGACTGAACAGTATTCCATTGAATGGATACATGTATTCTTTATTCGTATATCTATTGATGAACATTTGGGCTGTTTCCACCTGTAACTACTGTGAAGAATGCTGCTATGAACACTGAAGTACACTCAATGATCTTTTAAAGAGATTAAGTGATAGGAAAAAGATTATGTATTTATTTACCCATGTAGCTACCACTTTTCTTGCTCTTCATTCTTAGGGGTATGTCCACATTTCCTCCTGCCTGGCTAACAAACAAATTTACTCCCCTAATTAGACTTTATAACTTAACCCTAATATTGTAGTCACTTCAGTCATTCCATCAATGCCTCACCATATATACAGGTAGAGCCCATGGATGATGTAGCCAGTTATGGACCTATTGTTCTGTTTCGCTGTGGTTATAGCTAAGTCAGTTTCACCTGAAGCAGTCTTTTCTTTCCAAGGAGGTCCGTTTCAAGCTTGCCTTACCTTACGGACATGACAGGAAAAGAGGACGTTCATGTATTTGTCCTTCCGTTTCAGTTCATTCGCAACGGGGACGAATGTGCCTGAGGTCTGAGGTGTATCTGGTTTCTGAAAGAAATAGGAAACATAGTAAAAGGTGTATGCTTAACATTTTAGATGAAAACATCATCTTTTACTACTTTATAACTCTGCTCATGTATTTTCACACAGGTCCTTTTTTACCTCCCCATCCCAGATGATAAGCTACTAAAGGGTTATTCTAGCACCAAAGATCCTAGAATATTTTAAAAATCAAGAATGGGAGAGAGGATGAAATACACCTCTGGGAATTATTGATACAACGGTGGGTAATTAAAAATAGTTGCTGAATTATGCAAGAGAAAGTTTAAATGATCAAAGCCAGGTTATTCAATGTACCTAATTCATATGGATAGAAGGCAGAGAACATGCTCTCTCTCTTTTTGGTTTAATATATATTTATTTGACTGCGTCAGGTTTTAGTTGTGGCTCATGGTCTCAAACGTTGTGGCTCGTGGGCTTAGTTGATCCGAGGCATGTGGGATCTTACTTCCCCAGACAAGGATCAAATCTGCCTGCCCTGCTTAGAAAGGGAGATTCTTTACCATTGGACCACCAGGGAAGTCTTGGTAACTCTCTTTAAAGTGAGGGACATATACTCATGGTACACTTAGAAGCTGGACAATCTTTTAGTCCAGTGTCTCTCATAAGATTTAGCTTCTGAAGGTGTCTTAATCCTTATAGAAATTCCTGGAGGAAATTTCTCCTCTTTCTCTGTTAAAGGAGCAGGAGCAGATTCCACTTTGTTCTCCTGGACCTACCGAAGCAAGATAGTTGCCTTCCCAGGCTCTCTGGAGCCCAAGGTCAGCCCGTTGACCCTTCAACATTTCCACGGCTGCAACCTTTGCCCTAACTTGAGGCAGGTCTGAAGCAGGTATGGTCTTGATAAGTTGGGATGCTCTCCATCTATAAGCAAACAAACAAAATGTTTTAGACTTTAAAAATACCATCCTATTCATTCTCAAAAATAACGGAAGCTGCCTTTAAGTAGAATTAAATTACTTCCACATTACCCTGAAAAAAAAAAAAGCCTCCAAAATACACATAGAATGTGTTAAAACACATAACAGTTTTATGTGGACAGAGATTTTTGTAAAACTTCCTTTGCTGTTTGCATGTTTTGGAAGCAACCAGAACTTAGTGATACATGGACTCTCTTAATGTCTACAGTTAGGGCATAGGAACTCTGGCTTCATCATTCCTTCATTCATCAAATGTTTCCTAGGCACTTACTACACTTCAGATGCTGTTCTAGGGAGTGGAGGCACAGCTATAAACAGACGAAGGTCCTTTCTGCTAGGTGCTGATGTTCTAGAAAGCAGAGTTTAGCGTTAGTTGCTCAGTTATGTCCGACTCTTTGTGATCCCATGGATTATAGCTCACCAGGATCCACTGTCCATGGCATTCTCCAGGCAAGAACAGTGGAGAGGGTTGCCATGACTTCATCCAAGGGATCTTTCCAACCTGGGGATCGAGCCCACGTCTCTTATGTCTCCTGCATTGGCAGGCGGGTTCTTTACCAACGATCCACCAGGGAAACCCCAGAAAGCAGAGGCAGATGAGAAATCAGAGAGTGAGTAAGCACACAGTGTGGATGGTGGGATTAGGGCCGTGAAAGAAAAGAACCCAAGGAATAGGGAGCAGGTGTTAATGCCGAGGGTGGTCTGGAAGGAGCCCTGACAAGGACAGATGAGCAGGAAGCGCCGGAGCCCGCTGTGTGGATGCTTGGGCAGGAGTGTTTCAGGACGAGAAGACAGTGAGTGCCAAGATTCTAACGTGTGAGCTGGTTTGGTGTCTGAGGGGGCTAGCAAGGAGTCCTGTGAGCCGGAGCAGGAGCCTGTGGCAGGGGGACCGAGGAGGAGGTGTCAGGGAGAGAGCTGGGGCCAGAGCCCACAGGGCCACGGAGGCCATGTGTCGGGTCAGTCTTTCCCCTCTTCACTGCCCACAGTGGCCCAGGACCAGGTCCACCGCGGGCTGACCCCAGGGGCCGCTGGCAGAGAGCTGTGCTGGGGAATTCAGATCTGACCCACCCAACCTGGGGGGCGGGTGGGCAGGGCGGGGGATGAGCACACATTTCTCCTCCTGGTCAAGCAAACCTCCATCTCCTAAACACGTGCAGCGGACAATAACTGCCCCCGCCAAACTCAGCAGCCTTGACTCCAGGAAGAAGCTGGGCGAGAGGAAGGTACCCAGCCTTCCCAGGATGAAAAAGAACTGCTATGAGGAACGAGAGGAGGGCTGAAACACGACTAGACACATGGAGATATTATAAGAAAAAGAGGTCCCACGATTCAGACCAAAATCCTTGAATACACTTCTCTCAGGATTCCACAGATCAAAAGTGCAAGGATCAGTTAAATACCATGCAACAATGGGACCAGGGGTTGGTAAACCACAGCCTGTGCCAAAACTCACCCATGGAGCTAAGAATAGTTTTTATGTGTTCAACAAAACAAAGAAAACTATGTGACAAAGACCATGTGGAGCCCATAAGCCCTAAAATATTTACTATCTGGCCCTTTACAGAAAAACAATGCCTTTGAACTAGATTAATCCAACTGGCAAGATTCAGTGTGTGTGTGTACAATCAACAGACAGAGCAGATGTATTATTTTCAAAATGCTTGTTGACTATAAGCCCTAAGAAGGCTGGGGATGGTCTTTCACAGCTTTCTTATTTATCACTGTATCCACGAAACCTAGGTCAGTGACTCTGACACAGCAGGCTCTATGTAAATATCTGCTGAGTAAATCAACTGAATTTGACACAAAATAATCAATTCTAGGTCATACATAAAACCTCCAAGCCTTAAAAAAGAAGACTGTACAGTCTACACTGCAACATTATCAAATCAATAATTCTTTGCAGTCGTTAAAATTATGACATAGATCTTTATTTACTGTGATGGACAGGTCTCCAAGACTTATTTTTAAGTAAAGTCATACAGCCACACACAGACTCCTGCTTATAAAGAAAGCTGAGCACCGAAAAATTGATGCTTTTGAACTGTGGTGTTGGAGAAGACTCTTGAGAGTCCCCTGGACAGCTAGGAGATCCAACCAGTCCATCCTAAAGGAAATCAGTCCTGAATATTCATTGGAAGGACTGATGCTGAAGCTGAAACTCCAATACTTCGGCCACTTGATGGAAAGAACTGACTCACTGGAAAAGACCCTGATGCTGGGAAAGATTGAAGGTAGGAGGAAAAGGGGATGACAGAGGATGAAACAGTTGGATGGCATCACCGACTCAATGGACATGAGTTTGCGTAAACATCGGGAGTTGGTGATGGACAGGGAGGCCTGGTGTGCTGCAGTCCATCGGGTCATAAAGAGTTGGACACGACTGAGTGACTGAACTGAACTGTGGAAAGAAAGAGAGGGAAAGAAACCCAGGGAGTATGAGCAAACATTTCCATAGTACTTGCTATGTGCAGGCACTATCTGAAATGCTTTATATATATTTACTCATAATCCTTTCAGAACCCTGTGAGTGGATGCTATGATAATGGCCCTCTTCCAGATAAGAAAACAGAGGCACAGAGAGGTTAATTCATCTGCCCAAGGTTACACAGCTAGCCAGTGGCAGCTAGATTCCAGGGTTCGTGTTCTTAACCACTATATCATATTTCTCTTATATGTGTATTATATGCTTTTAAATGTAAAGACAAAGATTTAGGTGGGTACAAACTAATTGTTAATGAGTGCTTATCTTAGGGGAAAGAAAGAAAAGATAAGAGAAAGTGTGGAGGATTTCAACTTTATATCCTATAAATTTTCATATTATGTCACTTAAAAAAATGAGCATGTATTCACATATTGCATACTTACTTCTTAGATTATGTAAAAAATGCAGGTGACAGATGATATAATTAATGAAAAGAATTTATCTGTGCATCAAGAAGGTTCTGCCACGATTCACAGCTAACATTTATGGGTTACACTGGAGAATGGAGGGTTGAGGTTCTTTTGCTTTCAGTAATTTTCTACTGTTCTATTTTTTTCTTTGTATGAACAAATGTTTTTTTTTGAAAGCAAATGAGATACATATTAAAGAGCTTTCCTCCCATGAGTTTTTTTTTTTAATCTTTGATATCTGCCACCAGTTTACATTCAATACATCAATCAGTTCATGGCGTAGCTGGTAGACTATCATGATGCCAAATGACGATATTTGAGAACCATTAGCTTATAGGAGCCTGGCATGCTATAGTCCATGGGGTCACAAAGAGTCAGACACGACTGAAGCAATTTAGCAAAGTTTAGTTTATAGGGCTTCCCCAGAAGCTCAAAGGATGAGCTGGTTGGATAGCATCACTGACTCAATGGACATGAGTCTGAGGAAACTCTGGAAGATAGTGACGGACAGGGAGGCCTGGTGTGCTGCAGTCCGTGGGGTCACAAAGAGTAGGACACGATTTAGGGACTGAACAACAATGGCTCAAGAGGTGAAGAATATGCCTGTGATGCAGGGGGCTCGATCCCTGGGTCAGGAAGATCCTCTAGAAAAGGAACTGGCAACCCACTCCAGTATCCTTGCCTGGACAATCCCATGGACAGAGGAGCCTGGTGGACTACAGTGCATGGGGTTGCAGAGTCAGACGCGTCTTAGGGACTAAAAACATACATCCAACTTAGTTCACACGACTAGATGCTGTATGTAAGACATAGCTAAATATATCTGGTGCATGCTGGCAACAAACCAGCTTAAAAAAACAAGAAGAAAGGAGCTATGAATAACTGCAAAGTCAGATTCAGGGCAGTTTATAAAAAAAATGAAGATTAGCTGGGACGGTATCAAATGTGACATGGATGTTAATTAATTTACTTATTTGTTTTTACAAATAGCTTGCTCTATAACAGTGTTTTCTTCCTTTTATTTTAAAACCACCCAGGACCTCCGATTGAGCTGTGCTCCCCAGCACCACTAAACAGGACTTTTCAGACGTGGGACCTGGGCCTCGGGGTGTTTGACAAACTCTCTGTGATTGTCAGGTGTGGACAGAGAACTGCTGCTCTGAAAGGATAACAGACTTCTAGTGTGAGTGATATGTGGTAATTCTAACAGCAAAAAATAAAAGAAAGTAGAGACATCATGCTAATAGCTTATCTTAGCTTGCCTACTGCTACAGGAAAAATGAGTAGACGGTTCTATTTTTTGAGGGGTAAGCAGATGCCCTTTGACAGTGAAATCATGAAGGTGAAGACACAAGGTAAAAGCCAATGGAAATGTTAGCTGCTCCGTCGTATCCCACTTTTTGTGACTCCATGAATTGTAGCCTGCCAGGATCCTCTGTCCATGGGGTTTTCCAGGCAAGAATACTGGAGCGGGTTGCCATGCCCTCCCCTCCAGGGGATCTTCACCACCCAGGGATCAAACTTGGGTCTCCTGCATTGCAGGCAGATTTTTTTTTACCGTCTGAGCCACCTGGGAAAAACCAATGTCCTATAGCAAATAGTGGAGCTAATGTCATGGTCTCAGGTTTGTAACTTTATCTAGTAAGTCTACCGCCATACACGGATTCTGCACATATCAACAGATTCTTACCTATTAAAAATGGCCTGTAGGACCTCCTCGAAACGGTGAAGAACTTTAGGCGGGGTTGGCCACTGCACGTGCTTGCCATAGTCCCTCATGGTCTTGATGCCATGGAAGCGTCTGGCCACCTCGTGGATGTAGGACTTGACTTTGTAACGACGGTAGTATCTGATAATTGTCAGTGCTGCTTTGGTCCTCTTGTACCGCATGCGGGCCAGGGTGCCCCGCCACACCTTCATGATAGAGGAAAATAAAAAAAGGAAGATGTCGCTGGATCACTTTGAAATCACAGACGCTCCTTTACTTAGATGCTCAACCTGGAAATGTGCATATATCATAAAATCAGCGGACGCCGACGCATGTCAATTCGGCCTGCCACCAACAGATGGCGCCAGGAGGCACACCCGTCATTTTGATTCAGTCTAGGGGGTTCACTATTGACAAAGGAGTGTGTGTGGAGTCTGAAGCACAGCCCTGTTTTAACTCTGAGGTCACGAAAAGAAGAAAGCCAAAATACCATTATCCTTGGATAAATATTTTAAGAATGTTGAAAGGAAGCAAGATGAGTCAGAACCCAAAGCCATCAACATCCACAGTTCTTTTATGAAACTAGCTTTGCACAGACTACACACATCGGCTGCTAGTATAATGTTGCAGTGGAGGAATGAACTGATTTATTCACGGTGTGTGCAGCCCCCCTCCCTGGGTGTTGTGTAAACTCCCAAGAATTTAGATGTATTCCTGGGGAGAGGGTAAAAAACAGATGACTGATATCATATGAATCTTTGTCCAATGTTTGCAGCGCTCAGAAATCAATCAGACAATATGTAAACGTCTCAGTGCCTGCTTTATCCAAGCAAAGTGAAGTCATAGATTACTTATATTTTTCTCAGGATCCCATCCTTCTCAACCTCTCAAGTAAAAAGAAATTTGGTATAATCTTCATCATGGACTCTTCTAACTATGCTCTCTATTACCAAATGTATCTTTTCTTCTTGGAGAAGGCAATGGCACCCCACTCCAGTACTCTCACCTGGACAATCCCATGGACGGAGGAGCCTGGTAGGCTGCGGTCCATGGGGTCGCTAAGAGTCGGACACGACTGAGCGACTTCACTTTCACGTTTCACTTTCACGCACTGGAGAAGGAAATGGCAACCCACTCCAGTGTTCTTGCCTGGAGAATCCCTGGGACGGAGGAGCCTGGTGGGCTGCCGTCTATGGGGTCACACGGAGTCAGACACGACTGAAGCAACTTAGCAGCAGCATCTTTTCTTCTGCAGTATTTCCAGTATAAACTGCTTTCTTTTCCTTTCTGCTACTACAGTCCCGAGACCCCAAACCTCCTCACTGTTTTCTTGGATACCCTCCTTGGACACGCTGCCACCACCGTCCAGGTGATACTGCTGCGACTTAAATGACTGTCTGAATTTCTAGGTTGATGGTGCTTTCTCTCCCTGTCTCTGGACTCTAAGGACCAAGAAAGTAAACCTTTAATTCAAAGCCCACACAGTATGAATTCTCCAGAATTGCTCGGGGTTCTTTTATTTCTTCTTAGATCCCCATCTGTGGCCACCAATTTCTCTCAGAAAAACTTAGGTGATGACTTTTAAAAAAAATATCATTTATTTATTTACGGTTGTGCTGGGTCTTCACTGCTGCATCACCTTCTGTCTAGTGGCGAGCGGGGGCTACTCTTCATTGCGGTGCGTGGGCTTCTCAGTGGGGTGGCGTCTCTGGTTGCGGAGCACAGGCTGTGGACCGTGCAGGCTTCAGTAGTTGCAGCACGTGGGCTCAGGAGTTGTGGCCCACATGCTTGGTTGCTCCTTGCCATGTGGGATCTTCCTGGACCAGGAATTGAACCCTTCCTCTGCACTGGCAGGCGGATTCTTATCCACTGCACCACCACGGAAGTCCTGTGATGGCTTTTTCTCTCTCTTTTTTTAAGGTGATTTAAAAAATATATTTTTTAAATTAACTTTTATTGGAGTATAATTGCTTCATAATGCTATAGTAATCCCTTGCTGCAGAGCAAAGTGAATCAATGCAGCCACTCTTTTTTAGGTTTCCTTCCCATTAGGGCACCCCAGAACACTGAGGAGAGTTCCCCCATGCCTCTTTCATTTAGCCGTTATAGGCTGGTTTTCGCAAAGGTTCCTAAACATACCACGAGGTTGCACTGTCTCTCCTTTCCAGCCTGCTGCACAAACATGTAGAGGTCATTCACAGACCCCGAAGAGGAACTAATGGATCAAGAGAAACCATGATATGCGAGGGAAACACGACAGGAGCAATTTGTGATGAACCTGGAGCTCAAGTATAAACAGAATATATAGAGACAAAGAGGCAGTGAAAAGTGACTCATGGCTGCGTGTGCCATGAGCCCAGTCACCCATTTTAGTCAAGATGCCTTTCCTCCTGTAGCTGAATCCATCACACACGTGGCTGTGTGAGGCCTCCACCCAAATGCTAAAATAAAGGTCCCTTCTTTAGTATCTGGAAAAACCAAGAGTACAATTACAGGGTGGAACTGTGTGATTCAATCACTTAAAGAAAACACATTTTTAAACTCTCATACTGTTCGTTGTTGTTTTTTTTTAAGAGAAATATTAAGACTCCCTGGAGCCACATCTATGTAGAAAAGCAATCTTTAATTTTTAAGAAGTGTTTTATAGAGACTTCTGTTAAAATGTTTTTGGTTAGACTCTTCAGTAATCTGAAAAAAAATGTGTAAGTGCTTTTTAAGGGGTAGGGTTTTTCGTTGGTTTTTGACAGCTTTGGAGATTTCATCTGTGTCCTTGGTTAAATTCGGTTTTGTGTAGCTGAAAAATCAAACAGCACAAAAATGCTATAAAAAGTCAGTAGTCCTTCCTGTTGCCCACCTGAGCCCACCGCCTCAGCTCACAGTGTCATCCCATTCCAGCTATTCTAATTGCTTCTGGTATTTACAAATAATATATATAGGTTGTTATTTCTTGGTAAATCTTTTTAGATCTTATCCAAATTACAGAAGTTGGTGAGTTAGCTCTCTTATCATCACTGTTACCACTCCTTTATCACTCAATAATTACATCAAAATTTTAAAGTGTTTACATTGTTATATGTTATATTGGCTATATTATATATTGCATAAATAATTTGTATAATACATGTATACATAATATATGTTATATATGAATTTGGTTCATCACTGTGCTAAGGAGCATAACTGGCTACCATTCCTTCACTTTATTACATAAATTTGCTTTTACAGGTAATAACTGTCTGGTTTTTTAAAAATGTGCCTTATTTCCTAAATACTTATGCTAATTTTTCCAATGTTCTACCAGACTCATCAAATGATCAGCAATAATGTTTCCAACTGTCAAGCTCATCACTAGAATGTTTTTTCTTTGAGGTTCCCTCTGTCCATATGCTCTTTGGGCTCACTGCACAGTTCCTATCCTGGGACTTTTAAAGGTCTCTTCCACACTAGATCCCTGATTCTTGAACTTACGTCTTCTTCCTCTTGGTTTCCCTCCCTCCAGTAGCTCCCAAGAAAGGGTGCATGGCCAGTAAATTTCTATTCTCTTTAATTTCCTTGAGTACAAGGCAGTTGCCTAAAATGTCTGTTTCCTGGGGTTTAAGAGCAGAGGCGTGGAGAACAGGCTCTGGACCAGACTGTGTCAAAACCCTGGCCCACTCCAACCAGCTGGGTGAACTGGGGCAAACTTCTCAGTCCCTCTGTGCCTGCGCCTTTTTATCCATAAGACGAGGATGATAGGACTTCCCTGGCGGTCCAGTGGTTGAGAATCCGCCTGCCAATGCAGGGGACATGGGTTCAATCCCTGGTCTGGGAAGATCCCACGTGCCATGGAGCAACGAAGCCTGTGCTCCACAACTACTGAGCTCCCGCTCTGGAGGCTGCGCTCTGCAACGAGACACCATCGCGATGAGCCTGAGCACTACAACTAGAGCGTAGCCCCCGCTCACCGCAACTAGAGAAGGTCCGAGCACAGGAACCAAGACCCAGCACAGCCAAAACAAAAAATAAAAGATGTGGATGATGATGGTGCTCATCCTGCAGTGGTGGTGTGAGGATTAAAGGTTTCACTATACACAGAACACTGAAAAGTGTGCCTGGCGGGCGTCTGGAACTCGTGTGCATCGATTGGTAGGACTATTTGAAATCTAGTCCTTGTCTTCAGGAGGCTGCGCTACTTTCTCTTCTTTTAAACCTTTACTTGTTTATTTGGTTGCACAGGTGTATTTATTTGGTTGTGGCATGAGGGATCTAGTTCCCTGGCCGGGGCTCGAACCTGGGTCCCCAGCACTGGGAGCTCAGAGTCTTAGCTGCTGGGCCACCAGGGACATCCCTGTGCTACTTTCTTTTTCTGTTTGAGCAGATTTTCTGCCTCAGTCTCCAGTCAGTGCGACCTGGAAACTCTGACGAATATGAACCATTCCTCCTCAGAATGCCATTTGCCCTGGATACTGTTTGATGGTGAGATATTTTATTCTTCCACTGATAACATGGACTGGGTGTCCAGGATTGATGTGCCTTATCTGGTCTTTGGGCTTCCCAAGATTGGTGGGAGAGAGAGCTGGGGCTGCGGATGACTGCCACTGACTTCTTTCCTTAATACTAATGAAATCAATGCAACGGAGCTTTGCTTCAGTGAGTAAGGGGTGTATCGTCGGCTTTTGACTTGGGTGGGGACACACAGTCTTTCCCCATGTCTTGTGGAGCTTTTCCTTGGTTTGGCTGTAAGAATTATTCCCAGCAGAAGCTTCCCCTCTTTCATGCCCACTTACTGACATACCAAAGTCAGGAAAGACTCTTCTCGCCTGCTGGGGCTTGGGTGGGGAAGCAGTCCTCTTGACGGAAGAAAGGTTCCCTGATGGAGGTGTGGGTTGTACCAGCCCTTCTTTCTAGGAACCCTTACGCCAGAGCCTTCAAAAACAGTGAGACTTTTCAGAACTCCCTCCTTGTACTTTTCCACATTTCATTCTTGTCTTTGAAGAATACATATATTTCTTTTCAGCAGCTTCTTTCAATTTGGTCCAATTTCATTTTCTGGATAACACTTCTCAAGTTTATAGTATGAAGTTGGGAACTTTTCTTGGTTTCAGGGTTGATGGCGTGTTCTCTTTTATGATCAAAACGAACATTTTAATAATAACCTTTTAAAATGTTACTTTTACATTTTTGTTAATTTCAGCAAATTTAGGGGAGAGGAATTTCATGAACTTGC